CGCTCCAGGAACAGGCAGCAATCCCAAAATGCAGCCCATTCCTATTACATCCCCCACACAGACAAGGACATGCTGCTCCTGAACTCAAACAACGACCTGGACGAAGAGGGGCTGCTTGCAGAAGAGAGGCTGTGTGGTGGCATCGATGGAGGAAGCTGTCACCACTGACTTTGGCTGGGGCTCCATCATCCCAGTGGTGATCTTACATCGGGTCTTCCAGGTCCTGGCGGACAGTGAGGGTGCGGTGCCCGCTCTGTGCAGGTGAGGGCACGACAACAGGTGTGTTCTGAGTTGTCATCCTCTTCATCTCTTATCTCCCTGTGTCTTCTTTCATCTGCAGGATCTCCCAGGTGTGTCGGCTATGGAGACAGGTAGCGTCCAGTCGGGACCTCTGGCGCCGCGTGACAGTGAGTCGCTGCTGGGTCCTTCCGGGCACCACAGATCCACCCGGAACCCAGAAAATGGTGATGAAGACAATGGGGGCATTTATTCAGCAACGGTCAGTTCAGGTCTTCCTTTGTTTGTCAGACAGGTTGTAGAATTGGGCAGCAGGAAGTTTATCTGCAGATATCCACCAACCAGAAGACCCAAAACTTCCTAAATTAAGAGAATTTCCATCCTTCTACTTTGACATTTTGGGGTCATATTTTTGGGGAATTAACCACTTGGCTTGCGGGCACTCCCAACCCATGCCCCCCCCCCCCCCCCCCCCCTCCTGCCCAGGCCCACTTTTCAGTTTTCATCGCTGTTGCACTTTGAATGACAATTGCACGGTCATGCAACACACTACCCATTTTTATCATTTTTTTTCACACAAATAGAACTCTCTTTTGGTGGTATTTAATTGCCACTGGGGTGTTTTTATTTATTTGCACTTTGGGTGGGGGGCCCATGGAACTCAGCTCACTTTGGAGAGGTGGGGAGACCCCTGTCTCAGCTCCCCATATCCCTATTATGTGTAAGTCACCCTGTGCCTGTTAGGGGTGCAGAGTGATCTGTCCTAATATTGGGGTGGGGGGTTGTTGATTGATGATGTCATGTGGTTGCATCCCATTGTTCTATTGTGTGTCTGGCTTGGGAGCAAACTATTATGGGATGTATGTGTTTGTGTATTGGCTTGTTGGGGGGTGCCTCCAGCAGCCCTCCCTCCTGATGGGACTGTCTGTTGTTGTGTCTCTTGTTACTAAATGTAGATTGCCCCCGCCCTGTGTCATTATGCAGGGAGGGGGGATTGTTCCCTGAGTGTATATATCTTGTATCTGTGTTAAAATAAACTAGTCTACCTTCTGGATTACTTCAAATTTGTGGTGTCGTCTGGATCTTGGGCTAGCAATAGCCAGAGTCTTGTGTTCCAGAGCCTGAGAAGCAGCTTCTTGATGGAGATACCCAGTTGTGGGTGACTGGGGTCCTTTACACACTGTAAACAAAAAATTAAAAAAAAAAAAAACGTTTTCTTTGTTTCTGTTATAAAATTTAGCTAACGGGTAATTTTTCTCCTTCACTGATCTGCGTTGATAGGCAGCACTGATGAGGCGGCACTGGTAGGCTTTGATTAGGAGGCATTGATGATGCACTGACGGGCGGCTCTGCTGGGCAGCACTGACGGGCGGCTCTGCTGGGCAGCACTGACGGGCGGCTCTGCTGGGCAGCACTGACGGGCGGCTCTGCTGGGGCAGCACTGACGGGCGGCTCTGCTGGGCAGCACTGACGGGCGGCTCTGCTGGGCGGCGGCTCTGCTGGGCAGCACTGACGGGCGGCTCTGCTGGGCAGCACTGACGGGCGGCTCTGCTGGGCAGCACTGATCATCAGTCCCCTGATTATTAGTGCAGATCTCCCCTATCACATTTGCTGGTTATCGGCAGTCGTTTCCTCGCACTGTGACAGCGTGAGGAAAGTGCAGACGGTCACCGGCAACTGTATTTACATTGTGATCTGCTGTGTCATTGGACACGGCTGATCACGTGGTAAAAGGCCGCTGTGATTGGCCTTTTACCTCATCACAAGATCAGCTGTGTCCTTAGGACACAGCGGTCACTGACAGCGTCGTTTGCACACTGCTGGGGGTGCACACGCGGTGCGTTCGGAGAGAACGTCCATGGACAACCGCGCTGTAGCCGTCTTTCAGTTGGTTCAGTATAGTGCGGTTGGGAAGCGGTTCAATTAAACTTTTTTTGCTCCAGTGAAGGACACAGAAATTCTTAAAATATTGGTTGCCCTCTTCAACTCGCCTGAAGATTGCCTTCAACAGACTTCATGAGGGTGGCCTGAGGGCCCGATGTCCTCTAGTGGGCCCTGTGCTCACTGCCCGGCACCATAGGGTTGGATTGGCATTTGCCATTGAACCCCAGAATTGGCAGGTCCACCACTGGCACCCTGTGCTTTTCACAGATGAGAGCAGGTTCACCCCTGAGCACATGTGACAGACGTGAAAGGGTCTGGAGAAGCCGTGGAGAACGTTCTGCTGCCTGTAACATGGTTCAACATGACCGTTGTGGTGGTGGGTCAGTGATGGTCTGGGGAGGCATATCCATGGAGGTACACAGAGACCTCTACAGGCTAGACAATGGCACCCTGACTGCCATTAGGTATCGGGATGAAATCCTTGGACCCATTGTCAGACCCTGGGTCCTGGGTTCCTCCTGGTGCAGTGGGTCCTGGGTTCCTCCTGGTGCGGTGGGGGTCCCGGGTTCCTCCTGGTGAGGTGGGTCCTGGGTTCCTCCTGGTGAGGTGGGTCCTGGGTTCCTCCTGGTGAGGTGGGTCCTGGGTTCCTCCTGGTGCGGTGGGTCCTGGGTTCCTCCTGGTGCGGTGGGTCCTGGGTTCCTCCTGGTGCGGTGGGTCCTGGATTCCTCCTGGTGCGGTGGGTCCTGGGTTCCTCCTGGTGCGGTGGGTCCTGGGTTCCTCCTGGTGCAGTGGGTCCTGGGTTCCTCCTGGTGCGGTGGGTCCTGGGTTCCTTTTGGTGTGGTGGGTCCTGGGTTCCTCCTGGTGCGGTGGGTCCTGGGTTCCTCCTGGTGCGGTGGGTCCTGGGTTCCTCCTGGTGCGGTGGGTCCTGGGTTCCTCCTGGTGCGGTGGGTCCTGGGTTCCTCCTGGTGCGGTGGGTCCTGGGTTCCTCCTGGTGCGGTGGGTCCTGGGTTCCTCTTGGTGCGGTGGGTCCTAGGTTCCTCCTGGTGCGGTGGGTCCTGGGTTCCTCCTGGTGCGGTGGGTCCTGGGTTCCTCCTGGTGCGGTGGGTCCTGGGTTCCTCCTGGTGCAGACAATGCCCGGCCTCATGTGGGGAGAATATGCAGGCAGTTCCTCTAGAATGAAGGAATTGATACCATTGAATGGCCCCCACACTCACCTGACCTAAATCCAATAGAACCCCTCTGGGATGTCATGTTTCAGTCCATCCGAAATTGCCAGGTTGCACCTCAGACTGTCCAGGAGCTCAGTGATGCCCTGGTCCAGATCTGGGAGGAAATCCCCCAGGACATCATCCGTGGTCTCATTAGGAGCCTCCCCTGACGTTGTCAGGCATGCATACAAGCACGTGGGGGCCACACAGACTACTGAGGGCCATTCTGAGTTGCTGCAATGACATTTCACCAACATGGACTCGCCTGCTGCATCATTTCTTCACTTTGATTTTCGGGGTGTCTGTGAATTCAGTCCTCTGTAAGTAGGGCGATCATTTCCATCAAACGATGGGGCGTCCTTACGTTCCTCACCCATCCCCCGTCCATGTCAGTATAGAGATCCAGCAGGAGATTCCTCCCCATTGAGATCTGTTGGGTTTGCAAAGTCTTCCTTTCATTTGTTTGAGGTCTGTGTGCGCCGCACAGTGAACATTTTTCGTTGCACATATAGCAGTCATCTCTATAGCTGTGTCCAGGGATTACATCGACCAGTCATAGAAATGAGTTTGGAACATTGACACCCATGTCCTCCCCTTCATTGCTGATGTCTGTCATTTTTATTTCTAGGCTTCCTCAGGTCTCTGACTTTTCCCTTCACAAATGGAAGAATCTTGTTTCCTTTGTTGTGCAGGTAAGTGCATTCGTTTACACTCTGTCCCCAGGGGTTGAGGAGTGCCTCCCACCTATCCCTCGGTGCCATGGGTGCCTCCTGCCTCTCCCCAGATGCCACAGGACCCTCACACCTGTCCCTGAATACCATAGGGACTTCTTGCAGGTCTCCACGGGTGCCCCGGGTTTCTCCTATCTCTTCCCAAATGACATGGGGCCCTTGCACCTGTACCTGGGTGCCATAATGACTTCCTACCTGTCCCCACATGCCATGGGTGCCTTCCACCTTCCCCTGGGTGCCATGGTTTCCCTGGGTGCCTGTCTTTCCCTAGATGCCACAGGGTCCTTGAACCTGGATGCCATTGGAACTCCCTGTCTGTCCCTGCAAAACATTGGAACTCCCTGTCTGTCCCTGCAAGACATTGGAGCTTTCTTTTCTCAAAATCCATGTTTCTCCTGACCTCTACCCTAAAGCCGCAGGGCCTCCTCCTTATCCCCCAAAGCCACTTGATCCCAGATGCCATAGAGGGCCCCATGTGTCCCCGGATGCCAGGGTGGTTTTCTGAATGTCTCCAGAAGCCACTTGGCTTCCAAATGTCTGTTCTGTTATCTTTGTCCGTTATCCCTCTTCTCACGGTCTTTTCTTTTTTTTTGGGGTTTCTTTTAGAATTTGTCGCAGTTCTGCCCACTGCTGTCGTCTCTTACGCTGTCGCGTTGTAATCGGGTGACTGTGGATGACCTGCTGTCTATAGGACGTTGCTGTCCCCGGTTGCAGAACCTCAACCTACAATATTCCATGGTACATGGTGCATTGATTTACACACTCCGCAAAATCAGCAGCGCTTGGTATGGGGGGATATAGCGAATGCGGGGTCCGGGGAGAGCGGATATAGTGAATGCGGGGTCCGGGGAGAGCGGATATAGTGAATGCGGGGTCCGGGGAGAGCGGATATAGTGAATGCGGGGTCCAGGGAGGGCGGATATAGTGAATGCGGGGTCCGGGGAGGGCGGATATAGTGAATGCGGGGTCCGGGGAGGGCGGATATAGTGAATGCGGGGTCCGGGGAGAGCGGATATAGTGAATGCGGGGTCCTGGGAGAGCGGATATAGTGAATGCGGGGTCCGGGGAGACCGGATATAGTGAATGCGGGGTCGGGGGAGAGTAGATATAGTGAATGCGGGGGTCCGGGGAGAGCGGATATAGTGAATGCGGGGTCCGGGGAGAGCGGATATAGTGAATGCGGGGTCCGGGGAGAGCGGATATAGTGAATGCGGGGTCCGGGGAGAGCGGATATAGTGAATGCGGGGTCCGGGGAGAGCGGATATAGTGAATGCGGGGGGGTCCGGGGAGAGTGGATACAGTGAATGCGGGGTCCGGGGAGGGCGGATATAGTGAATGCGGGGTCCGGGGAGGGCGGATATAGTGAATGCGGGGTTCGTGGTTTAATTACACTTTAAAGTCTCAGGCTGTGGGGAACTGCTTGACTTTGACTGCAGTCAACTGGGCTGCCTCTTCCCTTACCTTCTGATTTTCTGGTAGTGATGGGTGTGAATGTTGTCTCCATAGGTTCAGTATGATGCCGTGTATAGATTCCTGGAGATGTACGGGACTCGTCTCAGGCGACTGTTGCTGTCATACAGCCATGATATGAAGGCAATTATGAATGGAATAGCGGTGTGTGTCCTCTGGCCATATATCCCTCCCCAGTTCTGTCCTCCTCCTTCCCTTATCTGACCTCCATTATATATCCCTCCCCAGTTCTGTCCTCCTTTCCTTATCTGACCTCCATTATATATCCCTCCCCAGTTCTGTCCCCCTCCTTCCCTTATCTCACCTCCATTATATATCCCTCCCCAGTTCTGTCCCCCTCCTTCCCTTATCTCACCTCCATTATATATCCCTCCCCGGTTCTGTCCCCCTCCTTCCCTTATCTCACCTCCATTATATATCCCTCCCCAGTTCTGTCCTCCTTTCCTTATCTGACCTCCATTATATATCCCTCCCCAGTTCTGTCCCCCTCCTTCCCTTATCTCACCTCCATTATATATCCCTCCCCGGTTCTGTCCCCCTCCTTCCCTTATCTCACCTCCATTATATATCCCTCCCCAGTTCTGTCCCCCTCCTTCCCTTATCTCACCTCCATTATATATCCCTCCCCAGTTCTGTCCCCCTCCTTCCCTTATCTCACCTCCATTATATATCCCTCCCCAGTTCTGTCCTCCTCCTTCCCTTATCTCACCTCCATTATATATCCCTCCCCAGTTCTGTCCCCCTCCTTCCCTTATCTGACCTCCATTATATATCCCTCCCCAGTTCTGTCCCCCTCCTTCCCTTATCTCGCCTCCATTATATATCCCTCCCCAGTTCTGTCCCCCTCCTTCCCTTATCTCGCCTCCATTATATATCCCTCCCCAGTTCTATCCCCCTCCTTCCCTTATCTCGCCTCCATTATACATCCCTCCCCAGTTCTATCCCCCTCCTTCTCTTATCTCGCCTCCATTATATATCCCTCCCCAGTTCTATCCTCTCCCTCCCTTATCTGACCTCCATTATATATCCCTCCCCAGTTCTATCCTCTCCCTCCCTTATCTGACTTCCATTATATATCCCTCCCCAGTTCTATCCTCTCCCTCCCTTATCTGACTTCCATTATATATCCTCTCCCCAGTTCTTTCCTCCTCCCTCCCTTGTTTCGCCTCCATTATATATCCCTCCCCAGTTCTGTCCTCCTCCTTCCCTTATCTGGCCTCCATTATATATCCCTCCCCAGTCCTATCCCCCTCCCTCCCTTATCTGACCTCCATTATATATCCCTCCCCAGTTCTATCCTCCTCCTTCCCTTTGTCTTCCCCTCCTACATTTCTCTTAGTCTCTGTATTCTGATTACAGAGTGGTTGGTGCCCAGAACTGAGGCTTTTGGATGTGAATGTTCGTTTTGATTCGAACATCATGGAGTTTCCGCTCTCCATTGAAGAATTACAGGCTTCCTGCCCCAAGCTGGAGGTGAGTGAGTATAATACAGGTCCTCTTTATATGGGCTGGAGTATTGTCAGAGTTGTGTCTTTTGCATGTCTGTAAAACCACAGAACCACACAATGGTCCATTACTTCCACCAGATGGGATATTGTCCCTTCCGAAAGAAAGTATAGAAATGGAGTTCGTATCTTGCCCAGAGAATCAACAGAATTCCCCGATCACTTTATTCATGAGGTCATAATTGCCTTCACCGTCCATAATAAATCGGAATCGTTTGCTATCGGTGACCACACAAGTCTAGATACGCCTTCTACCTGAATTCTGATGAAGAGTAGTCGTTGGGCCAGAAATATCGACTTCTTTCAGTGGAACTGATCTTATTAGGTGCAGCCAACGGGAAATTCCATCCTACACTGGCAGATTCCAGGCATTTGGCTAAACTGGAGTATCCAAAACTATAAAAAGAGCGGCAGACTAAGGAAAGTGTGTTGTCATGGCCATTTCGTTCATTTTTTTTTATATATGGCGTAAATATATGGAATAATATACAGCGCGGTAAAATAAGTATTGAACACGCCACCATTTTTTCTCGGTAAATATAATTCTAAAGGTGAAATTTTCACCGCATACCGGTGACAACCCGTGAGATTCATATATACAAGGAAAACTAAAACAAATATGTTCAGAAATTTATGTGTAATGAAATGGAATGATACGGGGAAAAAGTATTGAACACGCTAACTGAAATGTATTTAATACTTGGTACAAAATCCTTTGTTGGTAATGATGGCCTTAAGCCGCCTCCTGTATGGAGGAACGAGTCACATGCTTCGTTCAGGTGTGGATTTTGGCCCATTCTTCCACACAGTCTTCAAGTTTTTAAGGTTCTGTAGGCCTCTTCTATGAACTCGAATCTTTACTTCTTTCCATACATCTTCTATTGGGTTCCTGTCAGGTGATTGGCTGGGCCATTCTAGCAGCTTTATTTTCTTTCTATGAAACCAATGGAGATTTTTCTTGGCTTTGTGTTGGGGATCATTGTCTTGCTGAAATGTCTGCCCTCGTTTCATCTTCATCATCCTGGTAGATGACAGCAGATTTTTATCCAGAATGCCTTGATCCATTTTTTCCGTTCATCCTTCCTTCAATGACATGAAGTTTGCCAGTACCGTATGCTGAAAAAACAGCCCCCACCACCATGATGTTCCCACCACCATGATATTCCCACCACCATGATGTTCCCACCACCATGATGTTCCCACCACCATGATGTTCCCACCACCATGATGTTCCCACCACCATGATGTTCCCACCACCATGATGTTCCCACCATCAGGAGGCTGCCACCACCAAGATGTTCCCACCACCATGCGGTTCCCACCACCAAGAGGATCCCACCACCAAGATGTTCCCACCACCATGCTTCACAGTTGGGATGGTGTTTTTGGGGTAACGTGCAGTGCCATGTGACCTTCAAACATGATGTGTATTATGGCATCCAAAGAGTTCCATTTTGACCTCATCTGACCAGACTATATTCTCCCAGTATTTCACAGGCTGGTCTAAATGTTGTGCAGCAAACTTGAAACGAGCTTCAACATGCTTTTTCTTCAGCAATGGAGTCTTGCGTGGTGACGTGCATACAGGCCATGGTGGCTGAGTGCGTTATTGTACCTGCTAATTCCAGATCTTTCTGAAACTCTCCACAAGTAGTCATTGGCTCTTGGACAACTCTCCTGTTAATTCTTCTCAATCCTCTGTCTGGAATCTTGCGAGGAGCACCTGGTCATGGTCAGTTTAAGGTGAAATGATGTTCTTTCCATTTCCAGATTATGGCCCCAACAGTGCTCCCTGGAACATTCAGAAGTTTAGAAATCCTTCTGTAACCAATGCCATCAGTATGTTTTGCAACAATAAGGTTGCAAAGGTCTTGAAAGAGCTCTTTGCTTTTACCCAACATGAGATGTTTCTTGTGTGACACCTTTTCTATAAGCCCATCAGTTGAGACTGAACCAACTGATATTACTTTGCACTGACAAGGGGCAGGATTTGCTTTCTAATTACTGATAGATTTCAGCTGGTGTCTTGCCTTCCATGCCTTTTTTTTTCACCTCCCTTTCTTCATGTGTTCAATACTTTTTCCCTGTGTCATTCCATTTTATTACACATAACTTAATTTCTGAGCTTTTTCTTTTTCGGCTTTCTTTTGTATGTATACATTACATGGGTTTTTATCGATGTGAAAAATTTCAATAACACCTTTTATTTATCGAGAAAAAATGGTGGTGACGTGTTCAATACGTATTTTACCCGCTGTATTTTTTTTCTACCATCTAGAATTTAGAAGTTAAGCACCCTTTTATATAAGTGCAAATGAACTTGTTGAACTGGTTCGTAAAGGCTAGTGAAACAGGAAGTGATGTTGGCAGGAAATGGGGAGGAAATAAATGAGATAACACAACCACAAGGGGAGTCTGGAGGGAGACCTGGGAAGAAGGAAGAGGCAGGGAAGGGAAGAATCTTTCCATACAGAGTCTTTTCTGAAGCAGAAGCCTGCCTGCCTGCCAGCTATGTTTTTTACTGACTTTACATTCAAGTACATGAAAAGATTTTTCTGATGGTTCTATAGGATGCACTGCTGCTCTGGGATCCCAGAATCTGCCACTCTTTCATGTGGTCAGGGAACAAAGATGCCGTTACAGTGAGGTATCAACTCCATGATATGCAATGTGTTCAGATGTCTGGGTAGGTGACCGGTCCTCTTCACAGTTTCATGCTGTTGGGCTGGTCGTATGATGAGCTTGCTTCTCAGGTTCCCTCTGTTCCCATTACAGGTGCTGAGACTGTTAGACGTCCCATGGCTGGCAAAACCCGAACCTCAGAACCCCACCGGTGCCCCTGGGTTTCCTCAGCTGCAGGAACTGGTTGCCCCCACCCCCACCAGTCACAGATGACGTCATCCTGAGGCTGCTGAAAAATTCTAGGAAGCTGCGAGTTCTAGACCTGCATGAATGCTACAGGATCTCACCGCAGGGCTTGTCGGAGCTCCCATGTACTGGTCAGTATCTGAGCAACTCCAGAGCACAACCCCCGCATTCCTGGTGTGAGTGTCCAGCATAGGGGGCACTGCATAGGGGGCAAAGGGGAATTTTGGGGGTAGGAAGTGGGTCTCATCCTACAGGATCCCACGGTCACACTGGCACAGTCTGCTCTCCCCCCCGACTTGAAGGTCTGTGGCCCCCCCGATTTGCTGGCTGTGGGGGCTCAGTCTGTACAGGCTGAGGATGTGTCCTCTGAGTTTTGTTAAAGTGTTACTAACCCCACCCCCCCCCCCACCGCAGTACAATCATCTGTAGATCAGGAAAGGAACAGCACGCTTGTTATACTCACTGTGGAACCTAAGGGGTTAATCCTCCGCATTGTGTAAAAATGCTGT